TGGGGAGCAGAACAGGCAGATCGACGAAGTACACTGCTGAGGGGAGCAGCGGGCAGGTCAGGAGAGGTCTACCGCGCCATGTGTTCACCTCCGGGGCGGGCAGGGATCGAACTCATGCAGAAGTGGCTTTAGCTTCTCAGTGCTGTGCTTTAACCCGCTGCGCCACCAGGGAGGGCCTGTAGGTAACCATTTTTGAAAGGACTTTGGGTTGAAGGGTATACCCGCCAGCAGCTTTTCCCGGAGACTAGCCAGAAGCACAGCCTGGTTTGTTGGGAGGAAAGTAGCTCAAGGGAACCCCTCATCTGGGAACTTATACATGAATCTGAACCAGTGTGCTGCCTGCCTTGTGCAGGAGTGCTGGGGCCATAACTTAGACATGTCCTTTGGGTCTTCGGGATAGCCTGACTCATCCTCAGTGTGTCAGATACCTATGTTTTCTGCCCAGCCACCCAACCAGAAAACAGCGCAGAGCTAGCTCACCATAGAGCTCCCAGAGCACACACTCCCCCTGTGCCAGCTTCCTTCTGGATTGTTTGGATGGCCTCAAGTCTGCTCTTGGGGTTATGATGGACTCTCAGGAAGAGAATGCCTTGGGGCCTGTCAGAGGGAGGATACTGCTTTAGGAAACTGCTCTTGTGTCTTTAGTACCTGAGTGATAGCGGATGGGGGAGGCACTTCTGGATTTACTAACACAGATGGCTCATTAGTCTGAGAAGTAGTCACTGAAGCAGTGGCACTTTCTGGGACACCTTATGCCTGTGAGATGAGGGCAGAGTGGCTGAGGCAGGATCCCAGGTTTTCCAAGGAGAAGGAAGCTCAGAGAGAGGATTCAAAGAACTAGCATTGACACAGTTGTGGGTTGTAGCCTCCCTCTGCAGACCTGCCTAGAGCTGAGGGGTATCAGGAGGGATGGTTAACTCCATCCTTGCCTTCCTAGCCTGAAGGCTTTATTGAGGGGTGGGGGTGGGGGGGGCAGGCAGCACTTGTAGTAACATCATTGTGTAGGGAAGTGATAGGTGTAAATTCCTGCTGAAATATGTCATTATTATGAATTCAACAAAGGAGCGATACTAGACTGTGACCAAGGGCTGTCAGAATGGGCTCGCTTAACGGAGGGGCATTTTAATGCAGCCTCAAAGGGTGGATGGGATTGCCTGGTGGAGAAAAGATGACAGAACAATGCAGACCCGGGCAGGAGAGGAGATTGCAGCAGGGTGGACTGCGCGAGAACAGGTAGACTGGAAGATATAGCTTGAAAGGTGTTCTGAACTTGGCTGTGGTGTGTGGAAAGGGTTACAGAGTCTGGATGTTCTTCCTGTGTTAGCACTGAGTCTGAGCAGGGAGCAGCCTGAGGTGTGTTGCACTATCAGATTGGCCCCTCACTGCCCACAACGGCATGCCTTCCTGCCGGTGCTTCAGCTGTATGCAGAGACTCTCTCTATTCCAGGTTGTCTTCCTGTACATGTGTTTGGGGGGTCCTTACCTTCTTTTAGGTCACCCTTACTCCTGCCCCTCCCTGCTCCTAGTTGCTCAGTCTACGGCAGTGCAGGGGAGCAGGTACCTTACTGGCTTCCGTGGCCCTCGAGTTGCACAGCAGATGCATTATAGTCATCCAGCGTAGGCACCTTTTTTGTATCCCTTTGTCTGACCTTGTTCTTCCCTGTCTAACCTGTCCCTACTGCTTCCTGTTTCTTCTCTGACCTCTGTGTCTGGCACATTCTGGTTCCCTTCCTACAAACCAGTGGAGCAGGTCATTGTCCTTTGAAATCTTTGTCCCTATCATTTTGAATGAAGTTTCCCAAGTCCGGCTGGGGGCAGAATCACCTGAACACTTCCATGACGATCCCAATGCTTAGAGTTGTGAGAACAACACACATTAGTTTACATTTCCTTTGGACTGTGTGCCCCGAAGGTAGGAACATTCTTTTACTTATCTTTGCTTTCCCATAGCCTGACAGAGGCCTTGGTAAAGTGACTTTTTTTTTTTAAGTAGCTTTACTGAGATAGAGCTCACATACTATATAATTGGCCCATTTAAAATGTACCATTCAGTGATATTTAGTGTATTCCCAGAGTAGTACAAACATCACCACAATCAATTTTAGAACATTTTCATTATCCCAGAAAGAAACCTTGTATCCCTTAGCTGTCACATACCCCTCCACCCCAGCCTTCCATCCCCATCCCCCAATCCCCAGGCAACCAGTGACCCATTTTCTGGCACTATAGATTTGCTTTGGTGAATGTTTTTGATGGAATGTGGCAGCTTTTCCTCCCACAGCACTTGCCTCTTGTCCCGTGCTCTTCATTGGCCCAGATTTATCACCCTGCTCACCCCAGGGTTTCCTTTTGGGTGATCTGTGAAGGAAGCTGCACCTGAGGGGAGTTCTGGCTGGCTACAGCACACAGTAGGCCTGAGCAGATGTTTGTTGAAAGAGTAATGTTGCTGGCGGTGGGCTTGATTGAGAATAACTGTTCTTAGGAGACATGTACTAGTCCCTAAAGACCTACTGCCTCCTTTGAGGAAAGGTGAGGGTGATGCGATTGATAACGTGAAGTTGCCCCAGTGCCCTCCAGCCAGAGACTAAGAGCTGATGTGTAAACAGCTAGAGAGAAGTGGAGTGGACCTGGTTTTGTGGCCTGACCTCAGTTCATAGGTTGGGGAACTGCAGACTAAGAAGCAAAATGGGGAAGTTATCTGGCCCAGGAAACACACAAGGTAAAGGATTTGTCTTACCTCCCTTCCTCCCCATCCTGTGTGAGGCTTTTATGGTATCTGATGAGTGTGCACATCTCTGAGTGGTGCTGGGAAAGAGGCCCAATGGAGTGCCTGCCTAGGGGGTGGCTGGGTAGCATTGGTGCTTGCTGAAAATACAGACCTCTATTCCCGCTGCTTCTGTTTTCTTAGGCAAAAATTCATTCCCCATATTCTTGGCCCTTGTGAGTTTTGTTCCTTTAATCCCTGCTTCCCTGCCCACCCCCAGCCCTGAATTTGATGGGAGTCAATCTCTCACTTCCTCCTACCCACTCCATATCCCTTGCCTGAGGTCCCTCTTACCTGCTTTGTCCACATTCATGGGAAAAAAAAACAGTGCTTCCCTTGGGGGTCTTGAGGATCCTGCAGAAGCCAAGAAAAGAAAGTGTTCTTGGCTCTCCTTGGTGTTCTGTGACCTCTGGCAAGTGTGACCTTCTCTCTCTTGAGTCATAGATTCCACAGCTATAAAATAAGGTGCTGTGAAGAAGCCTTTCAGTTTAGAGTATTGAATAAAAAACATGTTAAGAAGCCCCCTAAAGTGGACCCAGGACCCCTCTACCTGTGTAAATAGCAGTGAGAGAGTTTGGGGTTTTGCTAACTGCCCTCCAAAGGGTAGAAGGTCAGTTGTGCCTTTCCAGTCCTTCTCACCAATTGGGTGTGGCTGAGAAGGGAGGTGGAGCCAGAATGTCTGTCTAGGTCTTTTCATTCTTTTTGTGTTCCCACTACAGGATCTTTGGGGGGAAGGAGGACTCTTTGGATGTAAATAATAATGGTAGTTAACAATTATTAAACACAGCCCAGACACTCACTGTTGTCTTTTCCTCATACTTATTTTGAGATAGAACAATTGGGTAGTTGTGAACATATTTATAAGGTCATGCAATTACCTTCATTAATTCCAGAACATTTCATCACCCCCAAAAGAAACCCCATACCTGTCAGCTATCACTTCCCATTTCTTTCTCCCTCCAACCCCTAGCAACCACTAATCTGCCTTCTGTTTCTGGATTTGTCTGTTCTGGGCACTTCATATAAGTAGAATCATCTTGGGTTTTTTTTGTAACTATCTTTGACTTAGCATCATGTCTTCAAGGGTCATCTGTGTTGTAGTGTATATGGTTCTTCATATTTTAAAAAAAGATTTATTTATTTATGCATACAGGGCTGGGATACAGGCCAGAGGTGTAGAGTCAGTGAGAGGATTCACCCACCAGAGACAGAGTGGGGAGCAGAACAGGCCGACTGACGAAGTACACTGCTGAGGGAGTCGCAGGCGGGTCAGGAGAGGTCTTCCACGCCATGTGGGTCACCTCCAAGGCAGGGATTTAACTCATGATGAAGTGACTTTAGCTTCTTATAACCCTCTGTACCACCAGGGAAGGCCCTCTTCATATATATATATATATATTTTATTGATGACTGATATTTCACTGTGTGGCTGAACCACATTCTATTTACTCATTTATCTGTTGATTGACATTGGGGTTGTTTCCGCCTTTTGGTAATTGTGAGTAGTGCTGTTATGAAAACTCACGTACATCTTTTTGTTTGATCATCTGTTCTCCATTTTCTTGTCTGTATGTTCCTAGGAGTGGAATTTGGGGTCGTGTGGTAATTCTGTTTTCCTTAGTAAGTCATACCTGTTTGCTTTCCTGTGCTGTGTTTTACTTGTATTATCTGTTAGTCCTCACATAAACTTTATGTGGTATAGGTATAGTTATAATCATCCTCATCTTTCAGATGGGAGAACTGAAACTCAAAGGGTTTTTAGCCCAAGGTCACACTGTCAGGTGATGATTCTTTGGCCTGTGATAGCTTTAATCACTACATAGTGTCTTTCCTCCAGGCCGTTTTGTGCCATTGGGGTAAGAGTTTTTGACTGTGCTCTTTATGTGGTAAATTAGTGCCTGGCACATCTTGACACTCATAGAAGAAAATACCATTTCTCCCCTGATATTGGTGGCCTAAGAACTTAAGGGAGGCATCCATTTATTAGCAGTTCCTGTGTTCTGCAATATTTCAGACTGTGCTAGGGTTTTGTATTACTCTCCCCATGCCAGAGGCTACAGACCTTCCATGAGCATCTTGTTGTCCAACAACTTCGTTGGAGACTCCCTGTAGCTGTGGAGTGAGATGCATGGCTTGTGTTGAGTAGAAGTGACTTCTATGTCCAGCAAGCACTTGTCATGATCTTGACTCTCTGGTTCAAGGCTGCTGATGCCCTGACCTCCTTTTTCTTCTCCAGGCAAAACCCATTTATGGTGGCTGGCTGCTCCTGGCTCCTGATGGTACCGACTTTGACAATCCAGTGCATCGGTCTCGGGTAAGCACAAATTCTTGAGGTGAGAAAGAATGAAGAGGGCCTCATCTAAGGGCATACTAGCAGAATTGAAGAGGGAGATGGGAAGATCACAAGTGGATCCTTTGATGGCAGGATCAGCAGGGAATTCCCATTTGATAAACTCATAGGTTCTAAAGGAAAAATAATCATTTTTTTAAATTTTGCAGGTCTGAGCTGCAGAGGATAGATGGGCAAACCAGCATTATCCCTTTGCCAGTGTTCTCTTCTGGGTGCTACTGCTGAGCCCCTGTAAATTGCTAGAATTCTGATTCCTTCCCCTGCTACTGTGGCACTCCTTGACCCTGTCTCTTGCTGCATGCTGCCACCAGTCCACAGACCTTGTCTTGTGTGTCTGGGATCTTTGGGGTTCCTTTTGGAATGGGCACTGACTACAAAGACATGAGAACCTTGGAAATGTCCTTGGAAATATTCTAGACCCCTCTCCCTAGACCCCCAGCAAGGAACCAGACTTTCCCATGTCCTTTTCTCAAAGCCATTTGTCCTGTCCCTGCTACCAAGGTAGGAGGAAAGTAGCCCCCTTCCTGTTTAATATTTAGGTCAAACAGAATTGCTATTTGAGGCTTCTGATGGGAAAAATCATTATTATAAGTGATATAATTCTGACCCAAAGCAGAGACATGGTATTTTCGTTAGTGCTTGTAACCTTATTGCCACTAAAAGTATGATTTTTTTTTTTGACTTTTTGAAATGTTGAAAATAGGTCATGGATTCTCATGATGATCTTTGGGATTCAGGGACCAGTAGTCTCATGTTCTAGGCACTCCTCGTCTCTCCCATGAAGGTGTATACTCTCATGGGCCTTTTTATTCTGCTGTCAGTGCCATTGGCACCCAGTGGCCTGGCCCTGGAGTGGATCTTAGCGACGCAGCTTTTCTTTGACCAGAGAGGTTGGTCACTTCCTGGCCATCGTTCTTTATGGTTCATGCTTCAGTATATATCTGTGTTAGTCCCTGACTCCTCAATGAATTGTGGCACCCAGGCCTCTTCCCCCAGTCTCCTACTCTCATGAAACAACCCCTTTTTTTTGAAAGTAGGGTATCAATGCCTGGCATTTCATCAAACGAACATTGGTATATATTATGTGAAAAGCCCTGTGAGGGATACAGAAAATATTCAGAGAGGTGACCAAGATATTGTTTCTCTTCCTGAGGAGCTTACAAATTAAAAAAAAAATCTTTTTAAGTCTCAGTCAGTAACTTGTATGGAAGTACACTGAATGGTTTGGGCTACTCCCTGGCCTAATCCTGGCCAACAAATCACCATTCTTCTGCCTGGGGTCCCTCTTTTCCTGCCATCTGCTCCCAGAATGGAAGTTCTGGAGTTGGCATTCTTTAGATGTGGTTTGGTCAGATGGGGGCTCAGCAAGCAGAGATTCAGGGCCAGACTCTCCTAACCATCCGTTCTGTATTCTGTTGCAGAAATGGCAGCGGCGGTTCTTCATCCTCTATGAGCATGGCCTGTTGCGCTATGCCCTGGATGAGATGGTGAGTGTCCTCCACCCACTCCCGGACTCTAGCCAAGGCCCTTTGTTTTTGCTACATTTGTGCTGTCTGTGAACACAGCAGCTGGAGTTCATGTTTGGGCTTCTATTTGGGTGTCTGGAATTTTTTAAGGACTTAGTGAGATGGCCCTGAAAAGCCAGGTCTTTGATTTGAGGCCTCTTCAGTGATCATGGGAGAGAGTAAGTGGTGAGCAGGAAATCACTTTTTTTTTTAAATTTTCTGATTTTAATGAACTTTGGAAACTGATATGGGGTTATCAGCTTTTTTTTTTTTTTTTTTTAAGATTTATCTATTTATTCACATAGAACTGGGGCACAGGCCAGAGATGCGAAGGGTGAGAGGATTCACCAGAGACAGAGCGGGGAGCAGAACAGGCAGATCGACCAAGCACACTGCTGAGGGGAGCAGCGGGCGGGCCAGGAGAGGTCTGCCACGCCATGTGGACTCTTCCGGGGCAGGCGGGAATCGAACTCATGAGGAAGTGGCCTAAGCTTCGTAGTGCAGTGCTTTAACCCGCTGCGCCACCAGGGAGGGCCGGAAATCACTTTTGATCAAGTGTGACAGTGTCAGACGTGGCCAGAGTAAATGTAGAAGAGGAAAGAACAGGCTGTACACTTGAGAGGTGGGGGAGGGGGGAGTAGGTAGGGGTACAGATTGAACACCCAAGCTGTTCTGGTGCTGCCATTGATTTTACTTGTCCAGTTCAATCTTGGTATAATTTTCTTAGCTGACTTACTTTAGAGACCTTCCTAGTCATGGGGTCTGAGTTCTTCTGGTTACTGAGCTGGGGCAAACAGACTCCTTCCTACCCTGCCACCCACCTGGTTTTCTTGATAAGTATTTACTACTGTTGGTCCAGAGACAAACCCAAACCCACCAAGGTGGAATGGCCTTTTTTACACCTATTTTGTCTCTGTGGAAATTAGTGTTTCCTAACTAAAGTTTGACCAAGCTTTCTAAGCTTTCTAAAGTATCAGATGTGGATGATCTGAGCACGGGTGTGGAAAGCAGAGTTCTGGAAGGGGAAACAGGGAAGGTGGTTCTTTCTGAGGACTTTCTAGACTGATGGGACACTGGGGTTTTAGAGTAGTTACTCACTTATGTGAATAGGCAGTACTGGGTCATTTTCACACTTGAGTCCTAATCTTTTGTGATGTGGTACTGTCTCTTGTTTCTAAGATGAATTGTAGTTGTGTCTCATTAGTTCCTTCTTTAAAATTTTTTTCTTCTTACTCTTTCTGGCAAGCATACTTATACAATATATTCATACAGAGTGCTTTGCTATGGGAACATCTGTAGACCAGAGTAGTTTGAGGTGACTGATTGGGAGTGAGTACTGAAGAGGTGGTAGAATTTGTTAGAGGTAAGAGCAGGCCACTCATTTCTTTGGGGGAAAGAAACCAGGCCTGGAGGCAACACTCCCCCTCTGTGTCTTTCCAGCTTGGTGGTTATATGGACAGTAGCCCTGGGGTGGGAGCTGGGCTCCTAAGAACCTTGAGGTTTACTTTGTCCTCCTTGTGCCTGACTGACCTGTTCTTAAGCCTCATGAACACTAACAATAGAGAAGGGGCCTCATCAGGTCACTGGATTACATCCAGGCTGGGCTGGGGCCATGATCCATCCTAAAAAAGAGCTTCCTGAACTTTCCTTGGAGACCGATTATTCTGGTCAGGAAATCTTTCTTTAGGTCTAACTGGAGTCCAGCAGAATCCATTATTCCCTTCGGCTCAGTTGCACAAGCACAAAGAGGGTGGCTACTGGAACGCCTTTGTGTCAGCACAAACGCAGAGCGCATGCTGCATCCTAAGAGCCGCTCCTAAATAACTGAGACTGTTGGGCCATGAGTACTGACACCTTGCGGTACAAGTTGTTCTCCCAGCAACCTGGATGTTGGTTTGTTGGGTGGTATTTCATGTGCTTTTAGGGCAGAGGTGGGACTGTGCTAGCAATATGATTAAAAAAAGAAGCCCCAGGAAAACCTGGGACCACAGAGAAGGCATTGAGGGATGCCTGGAGTTCAGAGGTTTTCGCCATGGGATACTTTCTGGCAGATACTTCGGAGCTGAAGAGAATAACCTGATGGAACAGTGCTGATCACCCAAACTGGGGAAAGTGCAGCACACACTACTACCTCCAGGGAATTAAATATTGTTATTGCTAGGGAAAAAAAGTGCATGAAATACTTTGAAGTTAATTTCTGAAGATTTTCCGTTTGTGTAAGGAAAGCTCAAGGAAGATGCAGACTGCACTTGAGGACACATAGTAGGAGGCAGTGTGGTGCCAGTGCTCAGTGGTCAGTGTTGGCTGTCATTGCTGTGGGGCTTGGAGGTGGGAGTCCTTATAGGAGGGACCTCTCCCACTCCATTGCTCTGTATCAGGGCTTGTTCTTCCTGCCTGCTCCCCCAGGTGGACTATCTAGAGAAACTCTACCTCAGTGGTGAGCCTCCCTGAAATCTAGCCCTGTCCTGACCTGGTCACAGAGTACTGAAACCTGGAGCAGATTTTTTTTCCAGATCCAGCCATGCTAGTTCTCCCTTTTGGTACCTCAAAGCAGAGTCACAGTCCTCAGCCGAGGGCCATTGTGCCTGCCACAGCCTACTGACAATGTCTGGAGTCATCTTTGATTCTCACAACTGAAGGGGGGTTGAAGGAGGTTGCTACTGGCATTTAGGGGGTGGAGGACAGGAATGCTGTTAGACATCTTACGGAGCAAAAGAGAGTGATCCAGCCCCAAATGTCAGCAATGCTGAGACTGAGAAATTTTGTGTCAGTGGCTTTTAATTTTTTAAATTTTCTTTTAAAAATTGAAATATAAATTTGATGTGTGGAAGGACTCACTGGTCAGAGTTCCTGGGAGTGAGGGAGGTGATGGTGCAGGGTTAGCCTGTAGGCAAGTGTGGCGAGTACCATAGGTCCTGTAGAGGGGAGCCTCTGCCTAGTGTGGGTTTCTTTGGGGTGTGACCTGCACATCAGGCCACCACAGGGCTAGCTTAAATGCTTGTGTCTCTTACCTAGGGACCATATAAACACTGCTTTGGGCAGTATGCTCAGACCAGTGTCTGTGTGATGATCCTTCTTGTGTCGGTGTGATGATCCCTTCTTGTGTTGTCTTAGTGACACAGCTTGGTGTTGGTCTCTAAAAACAGCAGCTTAGAGCAGCCTGTGCTGATCAAAGCACTAATCACACCACTAATCCTGCCACTCCTGCCAAATTTAGCTCCAGCTCTCACCTTCCCCCTGATCGGACCCCAGGCCTCTGTAGCTAATCTATTGCCTGTAATAAAATGTAGTGTTTTATGGCTGGGCTGTTCCTTCTACACTTAGTCACAATCTGTTTCAAATTGTTGCTTGACTTTTATACAATATTATTTGCTTGCATTTGTTTAAATGTTCTTTTACCAACCAGCTTCTGACTTTCTTTTCATTGTTGGGCTTCCTGATAATTCTTGGTCTATCTCTGCATTGTTTAGTTTGGAACTTGGGTGGCACAAACCTAGTAAATATTTGTTGAGTTGAACTAACCAACTTAAATGCACTGCAGCAGAATTTCTGCTTCCAGCTTGGGAGGAGGAGACCAGGCAGGAAAAGAAAGATACTGGGACCCAGGGTGCTTCTGAGAGAGAGATTAGGAAAGTTTTTTACTGCAGCTCTCGGAGGTTCCTCAGCAGAAGGGAGGTTGCTTCCCTTCCCCTCCTTTCTCCCCAGGCTTCAGAGAGCAAAGTGGGGGAAAGCTCCCTGGGTTGGGTCTTTAGGGATGAGGAGGCTACAGTCCCCCCACCAGTTTCTGCCTCAGGACTGCTCCGAGAGGCCTTTCTGCTTGGGGACTTCTGCAAGGACCTCGGCCAACTGCTGCCTCTCTCTTCCGGCAGCTCTGTGATGAGACTAACCTTTGGGAATCACTTTTCCTTTTTTGGGAAATTTCTTTCTCAATACACCCACATACCCTGTAACTGGTGGGTGGGGAAGAGAGGCAAAATACCCAAAAAAGGAAAAAAATTTCCCAAATGCAAGCTGAGGTGAGGTGGGCTCAGGGCAGACTCACAGACAAGTGGGAGTCTGAGCAATGTGGCTGGGCTTAACGGTTTTTCAGGAGTAGATGGAGTGAAGGCTCTAGAAACTTGAACTGCTACCTTCCCTCACTCCATTAAATGCTGCTAATTGTTATGCCAGCTCTTTCTACTTTTCGTTGAATGTCTGGGGACTAGCTAAGGTGCTGGTATTATCAGAATCCATAAGTGATCAGAGGGCTTTCCTGGAAAAGTACATAATCCAGAAGGGAAGCAGAAACTCCCAAATTGCAGGTGGAAAATGCTGGGTCAAGAGGTGTCTGGGCTCCACAGCGGGACTGCACTTGGGTATCTGGGTCTCTTTCCTGTTTTCCATTTTCCTCGTGGAAGCAAGACAGAAGAACATCTAAGTGTTTTTGTTTTTTAATTACAGTAAAGTGTATGTAACAAATTTTACTATCTTAATCATTTAAAGAGTGTAGTTCTGTGCCATTAGCCCAAGTTCGTATCCTGTAACCAACACCACTGTTCATCTGCAGAACTCCTCATCTCACAAAACTGGAACTCTGAACCCCTTAACTTCTAATTTCCCACCGTCTTCCGCTAGCCCGTGGCAGCCACCATTCAAACTTTCCACCTTGATGAATTGTAAATATCCTCCGAGAAGTGGGTTCATGAAGTATTAGTCCTTTAGTGTCTGTCTGGTTTTGTTCACTCAATACATTGTTCACAAGTTGACCCATGTTGGAGCTTGTGTCAGTCTGTTCCCTCTTTTTTTTGGAACAGTTGACTGCTACTCTGAGACAACAGACCCTAAAGAGCTCGTACCCCACGTCTGTGGCAGATGTGGGGTAATAGGAGTGGTCTTCTATGTGATGCTCCCTCCTCAGCCTTGACTTCTGAGTCAGGACAGATCAGAGCTACATGATTGTAGATACCACGCCAAGGACCTTTAGCTTGGCTCACATTCCTAGA